TGGTCCAGCGCTGGTATTACCCACTACAGCTTCATGAAACGTGGTCCATCGATTATAGCGAATGTCTACTGCAACCAGTTGGATGAAATGATGAGGATGCTTGTGATTAAGCAGCTGAGATTGGGCAATAGAGACAGGCCAATCCTCTTGCAAGATGATGCTCAACCACATGTCGCACAAACAGTGCTGCTCAAACTGGAGAGGCTGAACTTGGAAACTCTCTGTCATCCATTGTATTCACCAGACCTTGCACCAGCTTCCACTTCTTCCAGGCTTTCGACCACTTCTTGCAAGGAAAAATACTCGGTTCTCAATAAGCTGTTGAAAATGGCTTTTGCAGTTTTATTGCCACTCGCTCTAGGCTTCTTTGCTGCTGGCATAAGCAAACTACCATTAAGATAGCTATCGTTAAAACCGTTTTGAGAGTTTAGGCACGTATTTTGATTAATTATGCTGCTGCTTGTTTGAGATACAATAGACTATACTTTTGATTCAAAATTGGACATTTCATATTTAGTGACCAAATACTTGGAAGGCTGCATCACCTTAAACCAGGAGTTTGAGATTACAGTGAGCTGTGATTGCCCCACTGCACTCCATTCTAGGCAACAGAGTGATACCTCATCTCTTACAAAAATAAAAAATATTTAAAAAAGAAGGTGAGGATATAAAACTCACTTGGGGGAGGATTATTCATCCTGGGAGTTAAAGGATGATGGACCCACTTTGAGGAGGACCCCTCCTGGCCAGATGTGAGCCCTTTATACTGCTCAAAAGAGGAAGGAAACGTTTACTCCCCCTGGAGGTGACTGGTATGGAAAGTGTTTATTCTGAAATGTGATTCCAGGCATCTGTCTGGCACTGTCAGGAGCAACTGCAGATAATCACCATTTACAGAGGAATGCTGCTAACAAATAGAGAAGGGAGGAGCAACTGAACTAGACATTCTGCTGTTATTGGCTGAGTTTATATTAGTTTTGTTGGAAATCAAGGTGGTAGAAAATTTTCTGATTGTGAATCTAGAAAATAACCCTTTCTGGTTGTCAGAGTTCTCCAGAGAAATAGAACCAATAGAGAGAGAGACTGTATGTGTGTATATACACGAGGTGAGTGAAGGGGAGGGAAGATTTATGTTCAGGAATTGGCTCATGTGATTCTGGAGGCTGGCAAGGCCCAAATCTACAGGGTGGCCCAGCTATCTAGAGACCCAGAGAAGAGCTGATGCTACGGCACAAGGGGGAAGGCAACCTGGAATCAGAATCTCCTCTAGGGAGGCTGGTCTTTCTCTTGGGTGAGGTCTGTCTACATTGTGAGGGTAACCCTCTTTACTCATGGTCTGCAGTCCAAATGTTAATTCTAGCTAAAAAATATTTAATACCTTCATAATGACATCTTAGACTGATATTTGACCACATACCTGAGTAGTGTAGCATAGGAAAGTTGACACACAAAATTAACCACCATGCTGGTGAAGATGATATATTTGCTTATAATTTTGGTAGTAATAATGGAATGTCTGTGTAAATTACAAAATGGGATATTCGATTGAATTCTTTCCTCAGTGAAGTTTGAGAACCAAACTTTGTTGTAAATGTGAAGAAAGCCTGATCCTGTACAGAGGAATGACTCACTGGGTCTTTTGCTTAAAGATCAAAAGAAGATATGTAATTGGTTGTCTGTTTGAAGAAAAAGTATTGTTAAAAAGGTTTCTTGTATTCTAAAGCAGTATTCTCCTTTACCAGCCATTTTTCTGAAGAGGCCATGAATGTCATTGCATATTCCTAGAAATTATGAAAATGTCTAAAAATTCACTTTCTTTTGGATCTGAGTAGTGTTAGTGGCTACAAACTACAGACTTTATTTTTAAGATAATATAGATTGGTTCCTTATTGTGGACAATATTGAATTTATCATTTTGCCCTCTCCTGTCTCTATCTCATGTGAAGTAATATCCTTGTCTTCCAAATTTTGTAAAGGAGCCAACATGTTTATTATACTTTACAAGTTCTTTCCTCCCAATTTTGAGAGTTTTGTTAATTCTATAATATCAGAGCAGGTAACAGTTAGACACACTTTACTCTCTCATCCTCACCATTTATCCTATAGGTAAATAATATTCATTGCTTACTGACAGTGCTATGCTGAAGCTTCTCTAGGAGTTCCTATGTTATCTAAAGCTCATTTTCCTGTAGCTTCTTAGGAAACATTTATGAGAACAGTATTCTCTGTGTTCTTACATGTTCATAACAGTTTCATCTATGGCCTTTATACTTTTTGACTGATGAAAAAATCCTTGGCTCATATTTTTTTTCCCCCTGAGAACTTTGTTACTTCATTGCCTTCTGGCATAAAGTGTCGTTGTCAAATTCAGTTGTCTTTTCCTTACACATGATTTGGTCCTTTTGCCTGGATGCCCAAAGGATGTTATTTTCTTTAAAATCCATATGTTTTACTTGTATATGTCTCAGCGTCAGTCATTCTGGATTTGTTTTCCAGGGGGCATATTTGTATATTCAAGTTTTTTATTTCAGGACAGTTGTTGTGAATTATGGTTTTTGGTACTCTTTTCTCTCTCTTTGATTTTAGTTTTTAGGTGCTTCTGTTACATAGAAGAAGTTGGAATGTCGTATCTGTCACTATTTCTTAATTATGTTTCACCCCCATCTGTCACCTGTTCCTCACCCATTTCCCTCGTGTGCTCCTGTGGTGTCTGTTTCCTCTCATGTTGTTCTGGTTTAGTCTTCGTTTCTGAAAAAATTTTCAGATCTCTGCGTGTTTCCTTGCTTTGTCTGACTTTTCTCACATCTTCTCTTATCTAGCTTTCTCATTTCTGAGCTTTTTTATTTTTGATATATGCTCTTATATTAGGGTTCTCTAGGGAAACAGAACCATCAGGAGAAAGATACATGTATTATGAAGAATTGGCTCACACGATTATGGAGGCTGGAAAGTCCTACAGGCTGCTTTCTGCAGGCTGGAGACCCAGGAATGCTGGTCGTGTAATTCAGTCCAAACTCAAAAACCTGAGAACCAGGGGAGCCAGTGGTGTAAGTCCTAGTTCAAGGGCAGAAGACAGAATTTCCAGGTCAAGTAGGCAGGCAGGAAGAAAAAGGAGCAAATTCCATTTTCTTCCACCGTTTGTGCAGTCCTCAATAGATTGGATGATGTCCACCCACTTTAGTGAAGGCATCTTCTTTATTCAGTCTGTTGATTCAGATGTACAGATTGAGCCAGAAACAGTGTTTAATCTGGGCACGCCATGGCACAGTCAAGTTGACACATAAAATTAACCATCACAGTTCCTCCTTCATGGCTTCTGTTATCTGCTCAATGTTAACTAACAGTTTTCCTCTACTTGAAGGGCATATTTTTCTGGCCTGCCCCAGCTGCTGTTCAGAACACCTTTCAGATCGTTAGTCTCTTTCTGTCTCAAAATACCTTTGAATGTTGTCCAGTCACGGTCCTTTCCTGAGACTCATGTAAATGAGATTGGGTGAGATGATTCCAGGAGGGCTTTCCTAGCTTCAGGGCTCTAAGGCTGCCTCTTCTACTTCCCTGTGGCATGTTTAAAAATAAGGCCTCTCCGTGTAGCCATGTCTGTCATACTTTCTCAGACCTGCTGCCTCTGAACATTCCCTCACTTGTGCCTGACCCTTACCTTTCCCTCACCGTGTCGCACCCTGCTTAGTGAGGATTATGTGCTCAGAGCAGGGCTCTGCCTTCCTGGAAGGAAGGTCAGCTGGGTGTTTGCAGAGTGTTGAGGGCTTAGGCAGACCTGGGTTTTCTGGCCTCATAGTCTTCAACCCTGTGAACTGCCCTTCCCAGTCACTCTGATTAGGCCCAGATCCCCCTCTTGAGTTTTTCATTCCAGTGAAGAAATTTTCCTTTTGGGGTGAGTACTTATTGACTCTGGTGTCCCCCTGCCCCCTCTGACTTAGCTAAATTCATGTAATCGGTCTAGAATAAATTATTCCTGTTTAGAATATATATAATTATAGTTTTAACTATTAAAACCTACAATAAATTGGTGTTTTAAAAAACTTACTGGTGTTATATGCCAGATGTTAATACTTTTATTCATGGTGTACCAAGTGAGAGCTTTATACCCATAGAACAGTGGGAAGGGAATTCTTTTCGGTGTTCTTAACTTTTTCATTCTTGGCATATATCAGCGTTTGCATGTTGGTTTTGGCATTCAGCTTGCATTCAGGCCAAGATGTCCCTTGTTTTTGGGTTTCAAGATTTTTCCTAATATTAAGAACAAGATGTATTATTTGTAAACATATATTTAGATATTTCACTTGCTAATAATTCAGAAATTAGTTTGATGTTGCTTTAATAACTTTTAATATTACATTAAGTATTTGTTGTAAATTTTAGTCTTTAAGATGATATGTTTCCTAGAGAAGTAATGGGCTATAATGCGTTGATATAAGTTAGTATGGACTGCAGTTTAAGAAAAAGTTAAATGTCTAGTTTATTTTTACTATTTAAGCCAGTAGGAGCAGAATTATTTGAGCATTAGATGGGTGAAATTGAATAATTTCATATTTCTTTTTGAATTGAAAGGAATTCATATAAAGCTGTATGCATGTGTAATTATGGTATAATCTTTTTCATGTGGTCAGCCTTTCTCTTTCTTTAATTAACTTGGATAACTGTGAATTGATTGAATTAAAGGGAAACTCAGAAAGCTGGAAAAGCTGATGCTTAAATTGCTATTGACTAGTTTTTTTTCTGCCTGTACACAGTTCAGGTGCACAGCAAGCTCCTATTGCTCACATACCATGTTACACACTTGTTGATGGAAAAGGGCTTCACCTTTGAGCCACCACTGCTATGAGGGTAGAAGACAACCACCTTGAGTCACCTGAAGCAGAATTGTGGCAAACACGAGTTTGCACATACCTTGGGACCACCTGTAATTATAGCATGCTAGCCAATAGTTGGGTTGGATCTAGGTGTGTACGTACCTTTGAGATAATACCTTATGTGTGTGTATGTGTGAATACAGAAAACATCGGAGCAGTGTGGGGCCGAGCAAACCTGTTTCCCAGCCCCGGAGGAACATCGTAGGCTGCAGGATTCAGCATGGGTGGAAAGAGGGGAATGGCCCTGTTACCCAGTGGAAAGGAACCGTTCTGGACCAGGTGCCTGTAAATCCTTCTTTGTATCTTATAAAATACGATGGATTTGACTGTGTTTATGGACTAGAACTTAATAAAGATGAAAGAGTTTCTGCGCTTGAAGTCCTCCCTGATAGAGTTGGTAAGTTCTTTTTACTATTTGTGTATTATATGTTTTAAAACTGATATTGAAATGAATGCTTTTTTATTATTTTTTAGGTTATTGATATTTTTACTTTTATTTGAACATAAGCACTCCTCCTGAGAAATATTTGATTAAGTCACCTAACACCACAAAAATTGATCCAAAGCAGATGTTTTGAAGCCACAGTTTAAGGAACTGTGTGAGGGATATAAAGATGTATAAAATTTTCCCCTAAGAAGTTTACAATCTGTTAATTTCTAATATAGTTATTTTTCTAACATTTTTGCTCACCATTATCTGGACTCTGATGTACCCATCAGATTATTTATCATTAGCTCAATATCTCATGTGTTGATTTCATCACGTACAATTGCTAAGAGAAATGTTATGCATTTATTTTAGAATCTTTATGTGAAGTGTATCTTTTATTGTGTATTACATAAATGATAATTGTCTATGCTTTGAGTCAAAATGTAAGCAACCAAAACGTGAGCTTTATTATGCATTCTTTATGGTTTGTTTGAATAATGTTTGTGGAAATGAATGGCTCTTCTTTATGTCATACAATGTCAGTTTTGCCTTGCAAATATTCCTTAAGGCATAAGGATTAAGTTAAGTAATAATTACTGATTTTATTTTTAACTAGGGTAAGATATACTCAATAGTACTTTTCTTCCAAGTACTTTGAAATGTTTTCTTACTACATTGATGCTGCTATTGCTTAAAATATAGTTTATGCTTTTGAATAGTCTTTAAAAGTCTGTGCCTTTAAAAAATAAAGCTTCAGCAGATCTGGACTTGGGAGAGTGGGGATTTTGGGATCAAATTGTCAAGAAAAGGAATTAATCCGATATCCTCCCTCTGTTTTTCTTCAGACTGTGCCATTGTATTCTTGGGACATAGGAGTTTCCCCAGCAAATTAACTCTCCCATAGCAGCCAGTTATTTTGTTCATCTTCTCTTTAGATATCAAATGCTAAATCTTTGCTCATCTTGTATAAACAAAGTTGAGTTTTCACAGAAATCTTTCTTTAAATTTAAATCTTTGTTATTACTCCTGAAGGTAATATTAAATCTTCAATGTTTTCAACATTTTTGTCTATTCTTATTTGACTGAACAGCTGTTCTTCCTCTTGATCCACATCCTGTATTCCTTCTTGATCTTGACATCAATTTCCCTCATAAGAAACTTTAACATATTAAGAATCTTACCTGCAGGACTTAAAAAATATTATATAAACATTTATAGCAGTTATTTGTGCTCAATAGTTGTCATGCATTCTTTTTCTGAGCCATAATTTTAGTCTCTACCTCTTCTAGGGCAAGACTAGCTCACTTCAAACTTCCTTTATATTGGCACACGACCTGTGCTTATCAGTACTTTTGTCATCAGAACAGAAAGCATACAAGTGTCTCTGGTGATGGGATTAAGGGTTACATACTGTTGTTCGTACTTTTGGATTATCTCAGCTTTCTACAGTAGACCTGGATTGCTTTTGTAAATGGTAAAAGCAGATTACAAAAAAAAAAATCCAAAAGTTCTGTGCAAATCAGCAACACATCATGTGCCTAATTCAGTTACTACTAATTTTTGTGTTCACTATGGTACTTTAGTCTAAAATTTACTTGCCCTTCATTTATGTTTTATATAGGAAGAAAACAGTCTTCCCTAATTTGCTTCAGGCAGTACATTAGACTATAGTTATAATTGTGTTTTTCTTAAGCTAAAGGTGGCGGGGGGCGGGGGGCAGTGGTGAGAGTCAGTCAGTCAGAAAGTATATGATGGCATTAGAGCAGTGGTTCCCAGGGAACCCTTGGGGTTCCTTCAAGCCCATTTAGGAGGTTTGTGAGTTCAAGATTATTTTCATATCATTAAGATGTAATAGGCTCTTTTCATTCTCATTCTTTCACGGTTGCACAGTGGAGTTGCCCCACTGTCTATTTGGAAGGTCTGCATAATTCAGCGAACACAGTATTTTCTATGTGAGCAATACATGATGTTACCAAATCATGCATTGGTGAAAGTCATTCAAAGTGCAAGAGACAATTTTTTAAAAATTGTAGGAAAAAACACAACATAAAATGTACTATTCCAACCATTTTTAAGTGTACAGTTCAGTAGTGTTAAGTACATTCACATTGTCATGAAACAGAATTTTTTTCATTTTGTAAATCTGAAACTCTCTACCTATTAAACAAGTCCCCTTTTCTCCCTCTCCCTAGCCAGCCCCTGGCAACCACGATTCTACTTTTCTGTCCCTATGAATTTGACTGTGGTAGACAGCTCACAGAGGTAGAATCACACAGTATTTGTTGTTTGGTGTCTGGCTTATTTCATTTAGCATAATATCCTCCAGGTTCATCCATGTTGTAACATGTGACAGGATTTCCTTTTGAAGGCTGAAAATAATATTCCATTGTGTGTATATACCACATTTTGTTTGTCCATTCACCCACTGATGGACATTTGAGTTGCTTCCACCTCTTGGTAAAAATGTGAAATTGGAAAATGTGAAATTGTGAATAGTGCTACTGTGAACATGGATGTACAGATATCTCTTTGAGATCCTTTCTTCAATTCTTTGGGTATATACTCATAAGTAGGATTGCTGGATCATATGGTAGTTTTGATTTTAATATGGTATTTCTAATTTATATTTTCTAAACAGAACTGCTATACTGTTTTCCTCAGTGGTTGCACCATTTTCTAATCCCACCCACCGTGCACAGGGTTCCAACTCTCCATCTCTCTGCCAGCACTTAATTTATTTTATAGTAGCCATCCTAATGGATGTGAGGTGATGTGCCTTATTGTGGTTTTGACTTGCAGTTCTCTGATAATAAGCGATGTTGAACATCTTTTCATTTGCTTGTTGTCCACTCGTATATCATGTTTGGAAGAATGTCTATTCAAGTCCTTTGACCATTTTTAAATCAGGTTATTTGATTTTTTGGTTGAGTAGTAGGAGCTCTTTATAAAATAGTCTGGAGACAAATGAGTTTAAATGTAACAAACACTACAAGTTTATTAATAGTTTCAGATTCTGTGTTGCAACTAACCTTTAAGGAGCTACCATTTGTTGAGTTTTAATGTAATTCCATAGAGGAATATCTAGAATTATGTAAAAGACAATTAGAATATTCTTTCAATAGCATATCTTTGTGAGCCTGGATTTTATACATTAACCAAAAAACCACATCATAACATTGAATGCTGAAAAGCAAACTTTTCCACCTAGTTTTGAACAGAATTATAGAGTAGGGATAGGATTATCGATATACCATTTGGGAGGCCTCTGCTCTCAAACACATGAGCCATCTGATTAAATCATGCAACAAATATTGAACTTCTGTGATCTAGATACTAGAAACGAGAGGAAAGGCCTCTGCTTCCATGGGGAAATATAGGCAAGAAACAAGTAAACAAATGCATAAAATAAGATAACTTTAGATAATGGAAAATGTTATTAAGAAGTAAAACTGAGTAATGTGACCAGGATTGGTGGAGCTACTTTTGCCTGGATGGTCATGGAAAGCCCCCAAGAGGAAACATGCTGTAGCAGGAGCCAGGCCCCTAAAGGTATATGGAAGAGTGTTCCAGGTGGAGGAGAGCACACGCGGAATGGGAGAAGAGCAGAGTAGCTGAGGCGTAGGCAATGAAGAGAAAGATGGCAAAGCCTGAGGGCAGAGGCATGATGGCTTGGGGCCTGTGATCCATGTGAGCAGTTTGGTTGGTTTTCAGATTATGAAGGGAAAGCATGGGAACATTTTAAATAACACAGTCTGATATAAGCGTCACAGTGATGACTGGTTGCAGTGGAGAGTAGCTTGTAGGGGCAAGAGTAAAAACCTGTGCCTTAACAGAAAGTGGAAATGAGGTTGATGCAAAATAAACATCAGTTATTAAAAAACCAAATATGTCTTGAATAGGTTAATTTATAAGTTTTTTTTTTTTTTTTCTTTGAGACAGAGTCTCGCTTGTTGCCCGGGCTAGAGTGAGTGCCGTGGCGTCAGCCTAGCTCACAGCAACCTCAAACTCCTGGGCTCAAGCGATCCTTCTGCCTCAGCCTCCCTAGTAGCTGGGACTACAGGCATGTGCCACCATGCCCGGCTAATTTTTTCTATATATATATATTTTTTAGTTGTCCAGATCATTTCTTTCTATTTTTTAGTAGAAACGGGGTCTCGCTCTTGCTCAGGCTGGTCTCAAACTCCTGACCTTGAGCGATCCACCCGCCTCGGCCTCCCAGAGTGCTAGGATTACAGGCGTGAGCCACCGCGCCCGGCCAATTTATAAGTTTTAATAAATGTTCTTTGGTTATGTAAGATGTTACTATAAAGGGAGGCAAGGTGAACCATTTATGGCAATTCTGTTTTTACAGTTACTCTTCTGTAAGTCTGAAATTATCTCAAAAGTTTAAAATAACTTATATAAACAATAACAAAAAGCACTTTATACCTACTTTGAATGAACAATTGAAAGTTCTGATTTGGGTACAGGACCAAGAACAGATGAGTGCAGAAAAATGAAAAGAAAAAAACAGATTCTCTCAGTTAACTGATTTGGACAAAATACTTCCTGTTGAATCCAACTGTGGGCTGGAGCCCAGGAGTTTGTGTTTGGTTTTCGTACTTCTTAAAGCCTTCTCAGGTTTCGATGCTTGCTAATATATTGCATGGACAAAATTTTGGGTAGTCTCCTTTAGTGAGTTCAGTCTTCATAACATATTCAATGAAACACTTTGTCAACCTTTTTTTTCTTTTAAATTCCCAGCCACATCTCGAATCAGTGATGCACACTTGGCAGACACAATGATTGGTAAAGCGGTGGAACATATGTTTGAGACAGAGGATGGCTCTAAAGATGAGTGGAGGGGAATGGTCTTAGCACGTGCACCTGTCATGAACACATGGTTTTACATTACCTACGAGAAAGACCCTGTCTTGTACATGTACCAGCTCTTAGATGATTACAAGGAAGGTGACCTGCGCATTATGCCTGATTCTAGTAAGTATATATTGGCAACTTTTATTTTTTATAATTCAAATGAAGTTTGGATTTTAGGACAAGATATTTGATTAACTAGTTTGCAGATGCATTTTTATTTTGGGGTATCTGACTATTATTTTAGTCATGCACAAATATAGGCTGTAAAATTTTTCACCGTCTTACAAATTTTAGATAAGAAAATGATCAGTTCTGCTTGGCTTCTATAATAAAGGTTATTTTATAATTATTTTATTAACACTACTATGTATTATTTATTGCTTTTCATCATTTAAAAATATGTGAAGATATGGGGACCAGTAAAATAAATCCCTGTGTACCTTTCACTCAGCTTTTAACAGTTATTATCTCATTGTCAGTCTTTTTTTATCTACTTGTCTCCCAGCTGAATTATTTTGAAACTAATCTCAGACATCAGTTATTTTATCTGTAAATATTTGAACTTTACTTTAAACCACTGATTTCAGAAAACTGTTAGTTGGGGAACCTTTCAGTACCAGACAGATCACAGGGTGAATATTTATAGAGGTCATTTAGCTATTTCCACAAGTAGTCTGTTCAGGTGAGGAAGGTAGAAAAGGGTATGACTGGAGCTAATGTCTTCAAGCCTGGGTGTTTTTTGTTTATTTAAAAAAAACCAGCTTCATTGTGATATAATTCCTATACCATGTAGTTCACCCATTTAAAGTGTACAATTCAGTGATTTGTAGTATATACACTGATATGTGCATTCCTCATCACAGTCAATTTTAGAGCATTTAAATCGCCTCAAACGAAAACCTCATATCTTTTAGCTATCAGTCCATTATCTCCCAACCCCCTTTTCCCATCACTGTGCAACCAATTATTTACTTCTGTGTAGATTTCCTTGTTGTGGACTTTCCTATAAATGGATTAAATAGTGTGAGGTCCCTTGTGACTAGCTTCTTTTCACTTAGCATGTTTTCGTATTTTATCTGTGTTGTATCATGTATGAGTACTTTGTTCCTTTTAATGGCCAGATATGATTCCATTGTTGGATATACCACATTTTGTTTATTCATTCGTTAATGGACATTTGGGTTGTTTCCACCTTTTGGTTATTATGAATAGTGTTCCTGTAAACATTTGTGTACAAGTGTCTGTGTGAGCTATGTTCTTATTTTTCTTGGGTATGTACCTAGGAGTGAAATTGCTCGGTCATAATGGTAACTCTGTTTAACTGCTTGGGGGAACTGCCAGACTAACTTTCAAAATGGCTGCACCATTTTCATTCCCAGCAGCAGTGTATGAGGGTTCTGATTTCTCTGTATCCTCACCAGTCCTCACTGTTAACTGTTTCAATTCTAGCCATGATAGTGAATGTGAAGTGGTACCTCGTTGTGGTTTTGATTTCTATTTCTCTGTTGAGTAATGATGTCAAGCATCTTTTCATATACTTACTGGCTGTTTATGTGTCGTTTTTGGTGAAATGTCTGTTCAGATCCCCTGCCCATTTTTAAATTGTCTTTTATTATTGGATTATGAGAGTCAGTTTCTACATATAAGTCACCAGGTACGTGTTACAAATATATTCTCCCATGTTCTTTGAGGTACGAAAGTTTTTAACTTTGAAGTTCAATTTATGTTTTTTCTTTTGTTGCTTAATGCTTTTTGTGTCACATTTCAGAATCTTTTGCTATATCCTAGGTCATGAAGATTTATAAATCCCTGTATTAGGAGTTTTATAGTTTTAGCTCATGTGTAGGTCTTTTTTTTTTTTTGAGAGACAGGATCTTGTTCTGTCACCCAGTCTGTAGTGCAGTGGCCTCATCATAGCTCCCTGCAACCCCAAATTCCTGGCTCTACCTTCTGAGTAGCTGGGACTACAGGTACACCACTGTGCCCAGCTAATTTTTCTGTTTTTTTGTAGAGATGGGGTCTTGCTCTTGCTCAGGCTGGTCTCGAACTGACCTCAAGTGATCCTCCCACCTTGGCCTCCCAAAGTGCCAGGATTACAGGGGTGAGCCACCTCACCCAGCAATTTCTTTTATTTTGAAACTGGGTTAGGAAGATGATGTGGAATGCAGTGCAGTTGAAGGGGAACAGGCTTTAAGGATTCATGGAGTAAAACTAATAATACTTAGGCATTCAAATATATGTACCATATCCTCAGTAATCCCTGTAGGAATTGTCTGCTTTGAAATTCTATTGAAGAGTCACTCCTACTTATTTTTAGTTAATTACAGCTACAAATTAAAAATGATCTAAAGGAATTTTTGGTTATGATTTTCAAAATTTTTTATATATCTGGATCGGAGTCAGCGAATTATTTTTGTGAATAAAATTTTATTGGATCACAGCCACATTAGTTCTTTTATTTCTCATCTATGGCTGCTTTAATGCTACAGTGGTAGAATTGAGTAGTTGGGACAGCAACCATATGATCCTCAAGCCTGAACTTTTTAGTGTCTGACCCTTTAAGAAAAGTCACTGGTCTAGATAATCACGATGAATTCAGAGTAGTAAAATTTTAAAAAAATTATTATGAAAATAAACATGCAAGTTGATGTGTATCTAAAAATTGATTTTAAATTCTTCTTCCTTTTCCCCTCCTTTAAATACAGATGATTCACCTCCAGCAGAAAGGGAACCAGGAGAAGTTGTGGACAGCCTGGTAGGCAAACAAGTGGAATATGCCAAAGAAGATGGCTCGAAAAGGACTGGCATGGTCATTCATCAAGTAGAAGCCAAGCCCTCCGTCTATTTCATCAAGTTTGATGATGATTTCCATATTTATGTCTACGATTTGGTGAAAACATCCTAGATGTCATCATGAACTCTGCCAAATTTGTGGAACTATTAAATGTATAATTTGTAGACATAAAGACTTGATTGCTTTCCAGTTTAATGAAAGCTTAAATGTCCCTGCGAACCCACAATCTCTGCCAGCAGAACTGGTTTTGTTCTGAATAGTACAGATTGATGTGAACACAAAGCATTTTGTGTAAGGAGAACTCCTTCCTCTTAAAAGAAGTCTGTTTGGAGGGGAGTTACAGGCAAGTTTGGTAAAAGTTAAGCTAGTATCATAGTCATTTAAAACTGTAATAGATCTTAACCATGTTTCCCTTCACTCTAAAACTCTTATTCTGCTGCCACAATGCAAGCATAGTTTGGTATTTTTGTTACTGCCTTTTTTGAGATATATGTATCTATATCTACCTATATGTGTGTGTATGTATATATATTATATACACACATACACACACACACCATTGGCAGTCCTTTCTTTGTGGATTGGAATGGGGGTGACATAATTTTCTCCAGTTTAACAGGAGTGCTTGACCCAAATCAGTCCTATTTATGATATTACTGCTCTTTATTTAAAATTAAAATTTGGGCACAGGAAGCACATAAGAATGTTCAGCTTGTTTTGAAAGTCAGAAGTTCAGAGCACCTTTTCTATCTGGAGGCTTTAAACCGTAAATCCAAATGTGAATTATCTGTGAACAGTTGATGATCTGCATTAGAATTTTGCAATCTGGTAAGAAATCTGGGTAAAAGGCTGCCTTTAATTCTAAGCTTTGTAATTTTTTTTTTTTTTTTTTAGGACAACACTTTATTCCGTAAAATAGAATGAGTGTTTATATGATTTTTTTGTTGTTTACTCTTTAATCATAAATACTTTTTAGCAAAGCCCAGGTCCTTGGTCCACATAGTGTAATGTAGGTGTATTTTGGACAGCACATTTGGTCCGTTATTTGTACAAATCAGTAATCTGAATTTTAGTTTATGGATTTAAAAAGGCAACAGTACATCAGTGTGTGTTTGTGGTAAGTTCCTGGAAGAACACAGTGCTTTTATATCAGAAATGTAAGTTTTAAGAGTGGCATTGTTGCCTTCTAACAAGTTCTCTGGGACTTTTTAATTTTTATTACTATTATTGCTGATATATGATTATGGTCAAAACCACCCTCCCCCACCCCCACCCTCCGTTTTTCCCCACAGAGAATGTCTAGAAAAATAACAGCTTGATCTCTTGACATCTTTTGTGATGGTGTATGTATGTCCTTGCTCCAGGTGTGCTGTTGATGTGGATTCATTCCCCTCAGTGGCCCCTTGGGGTTTGCATGTCAGTGGTGCGTTACCATAGAAGGTCCAGTCGTTCGTGTTCACTTGTGGGTGTAAGTAATAGCAGCCCTTATCCACAGAGTCCTTTCATGGTTTATTCCTGCAGGGTTGTTTTAAACTGAATTAGAACTGCAAATGTGATTGGTTGATCAGCAAAGCAGTTGCTCCCACTTTGTTTTGGAGGAAGCCTGGTGGTTTGACAGCCAGGAGAAAGGCCATACATGAAACTAGTCTCTTGGGAAGATTGGAAATCTTACCTGTGGTTTGGGCAGAGCCTAAATGTGCATGCTGTCAATGAGACACCAGAGGTTTGGCTCAGAGGTCCAAGGGACCTCTGTTGTGGCTGTTCTTGACACCAGAAATCACATACTTTCCAGGCCTCACTGCGCATGGTTTGCTTGATGTCCATTTTAGCCTTCATAAGGGCTTGTGCCTTGTGCTGTTGCATGGTAACGCCCACTCACCATGTAAACACAGTGCCTCAGTTTTCTGTTCACAGCTGCTGTTGCCCTGTGCCCCAGTGCTTCACTGTGGGCAGCCAGGGCCAAGCTTGTGAAAGCAGTGTGATACCCAAGACATAGGTGCTTCCTGTGTAGGTGTTCTGCAGATCTGCTGTGTGTTTTCCTGTTGACTCTTAAGAGTCCCTGCATGTAAATCTCAAAGCTGAGCCTGGCTCCCGGAGCCCAGACTGACATTTACAGTACAGGAGTTTGTGAGTGTGTCCAGCATGCCCAACTATGCAGAACTTGGCATAGTGACTTTGGGCTGAAAAATAAAGTTCATTTTGAACTATCCTGAGGATTGAGTCAATTGATACATTTCTAGCATTACCTAATGACTTGCATTGTGGTTTTTCTGCAAGCAGTGTTAATATACCACACAATCTCCCAGTCTCTAGATGAATGCAACATCATGATGATGGTGATGATGGTGATGATAATGACGTTAATCATTGTTCCATTTATTGCCTTTTAGGGCTGAGGGAAGGGGAAGATTTTTTTTTTGTTGGGGGTTTTTTTTTTATTCCATCTTTTTCCCCATTCTGTCTTTTTTTTTTTTTTTTTGGTGGCTGATGCCATACTTAATGACGCTGTGACTAATTCTGCTCCCAAGCCCATATATCTTGGGCTTCATTTTAGGCTCATGTTTCAGATCTGCATGCATTGCTTGCATTTTTCTGGTATCTGAATGTTGGTTCCTTGGTCTAGGAATTCAACATTAATTTCCAAAATTATCATGGGACTTGTGACAACATGAGACATGAATCTATGTATAAAATTTATCGGCCTTTCTCATTTACCTGCTCTAGTATTATTGTATTGTGTGTGCGTGCGTGTGTGTGATGTCAGGCTGCCACGTAAAACTTCAGAGAAAAATCTTAAAAGCAGACCATCCTTTTTTGCATGCTGTATTCTAAGTAGAATGTTCAATGTAACTAACTAAAATTGCATGTTAATGATATTTAGGTTTTTTGTTTTTATTTTTTTTCTTTATTTTTATTTGCTTTCAGTTTCCTGTATATTTGCTTACTGTGCTGTTTTAGTGGTTGTAGGATAAAAATGCACTGGTGAAGCAAATGTAGTGCCAACAGAAGGTGATTTTCCAGTTGTAAATGTCATGCAGCATTTGAAGGGACTGTGCTTTCTTTAAAAAAAAATCACAGTTCTAAACCAGATTTCATTTCTATTATTGTTTTATGTGCCAAACCGCGAAGTGCATTGGACTTGAATCTGAACACTGTAGACCCATTAGAAGACTGTTCCGATTGTCACAAATTGTAGTGCCTGAAAACACTCTTAAGCTGATTGTCTTAAAAAAATGAAAGTTCTCCAAAGACAAAACAGGAACAACTATTATAACAAAATTATGGTTGAAATGTCTGTGGTTCCTTGGAAATGCTGCGCTCTTTGTGTTTTCCATCATTAGTGCAGTTTGAATGAATGTGTATAGTTCAGAGGTCTTCGTGTTCACATTTTAAAGTTAGGTAAATGACCTCATCTTTCGAGCCTGAATTCATTTTTAATTTTAATTTTATTTTATACAATGTGTAGACAGTTCCCTGTTCTCTGCATTTAGAAGTATACACAATATAAATCTGTTAATTCTGTAAGTAATTTTTATAATTATGATGTAACTCTATCCTATCCTTAAAACATTTAAAATAAACCCTTTATGTGCAACTCCTGACTGTAGATTTTGTGCTCATGAGCAAAATGTGATGTGTTAAACTTGCTTCTGAAAAGTTTTTAAGCCAAGTAACCTTTTTTACCACATGTAAATGTCAGATATGCATAGAAACAGAAAGGAATAGAATTTTTATTTGATAACATTCAGTAATAACTGAAGGGAGAGGGGACAGTTCGATATCCCACATATATTAAATATTAAAGTTTGTGATTTGATATTAATGAGAAATTTTAATTTATCATAAGATTTTAAACAAAAGGATTGTTTTAAATAGAATTAAATAATGTGTATTTTATACTTTCACATCTATTCTTGCTTTGACTATTTCTTATAATGCTTTTTATTCATACTTAAATTCCAATCAGTGAGATTCTATAGTGAAAAATCTCTATTTCTCAATGTGAAGGATAAAGAAATGAAGGTAATATTGACACATATGTGTGTTCTATGTTTTATCTTCCTTGGTAAATTTAGTCAATGAGGCAAAAAGTAGAATTTATAACATGCTTTATTTAGTTTCTTCTGAAAAAAATGTTTCCCAATTCACTTTGGCCAAAGGATCTCATGCTTTAAGTGTAGGATAGGAAAGATCACCTTTGCCCTGCATTTAGGAGAGTGGTTGATGTTCAGTGAGGAATAAACACAAACTTGGGCTTTGGGACACCTGGCTTCTAGGCTTGTGTTGGTGGGCCGCTGTGCTGGAGACCATGTAGGTGACTGAGTTGGACTTGAGGGCAGGGTCTCCTCTGGCTCTGGTGGAAGAAAGCTGCAATTTGGGGAGGAAATGAGCCATTGGGAAGCACAGATGCTCAGGTTAGTCTAAATTGTCTAACCTTCCTTGCTGAAGGTAGATTGGTCGTTGTCTGTCTGTCTGTCTGTGGTATCAAAAGTACAGCTCAGTAAATATTTTCCCCAAAAAAATAACAACACAAGTTTAGTTCGAAGGTTGGACGTTGATGACCAGTCTTTGTAAACTAGTGAATTGGTCTCCTATTTAAGGCAGTCATCACTCTTGAGGAAGTAGAGAGATGGGCCTTCCTTTTCATTGTTTCTTCTCTTGGTACATTTAAGCTCTGTGATGATAAAAAGCATTTGACACTAATAAAGCATTTGTAAATGCTTAACAAGTAAGCATGTTCTACATGGTATTTCGTTTAGCTCTTAACAGTCCTGTGAGGAAGGCACCACTCTTTGCCCCGTTTCTCATTTGAGGAAGGGGCAGGCGTTGAGTATCTCACCCAGGATTACAGAGGCCATGAGGACTGAGACCTCAATTCTGTGCCCAGGCTCTGAGCTGCTCTGTTAATGCCTCAGAATTACATTACTTCGGTGGAGTGATTTGAGTAATCTATAGTGTAATATTTTCTGTGAATAATTTTCTGTAACCTTATTTCATAAGCTGATACCTAAAAACTGTTTCCTTATTTCCAAATTGCCAAATAAAAGGTTTTATGTTAGTCACTAGAATACAGCTGTGTATCTGTATTTGTATACTGAGAATTAGAATTCAAAGCTATTTTTTTACTTGAAAAATAAGATGGTGTCTTTTATTTTGGAGGGAAAGTATGTTGAAGAAATTTTAATTTTTCATCA